ATCGTAACAATGTACTTAGAGGATCGCGACGTAGCCGATTATCGAAAACTATGAAAAACTTCGAAGGAAAGGCAATAATCGATCGACGATCGAACTAATAGTTGGTGTTGAACGATGACGCGCAAGATCACCCCGTTACCTCGAGATTTTGAGGTCGATCACGTCCTCGTCCCAGAAACCCAGGGATGAGGATGCACTCTCCGTTTATCCCACGGAAAATGGCATACTCGGCTACTTGAATTAATTATTTCGTTGCGTCAAACATTTGACATTTCTCGGAGTGTTTACGCTTGCGAGATTACAGAGTCAACCGATTCAACTAGTTTCTCTCGTAATCTATCACAAAGAATCGCTTTTGGTTTAGGCTTGAAGCTTTCTACGTTTGTTTATTTATAAAATGTTCTCGAAATGAAATAATTCGCGCGCTAAATATCGTTTGCGTGAAAACAATGTTTTCGTTACCTGCAGCCGAATTTTCCAGTTCTTTTTTTTTTTTCCTCGACGACGAAGATTTTCGTTACCTGCGAAAGAAACTCCTTGAAAAATGGAACAGACGTTCGCGCTTTTGTGTTCACGTGTCGGACGAAAGAAACAGAAATGCTTGACAATAGTAAATGCTTTAATACGTATCTAAAATAAAGTATTCGAAATTGAACGAGAGCATTTAGGAGCATAAAGATCTGGAAAAATGTGATAGGGAAACAGACAGACGATAAAAATCCAAGCACACGACAACCCTGTTCAGCCTTAAAATTTTATAAAACACAATCGTTTTGCGCGCAATATATATATAATCAGTTCGTCCAATATAAACCATCGTGAAATTTTCCGCGAAGTCCTTAGCGTTTAGGAAAACATAACAAAAATAGAAAAAACTCACACTCCCTTCCTCCCGGTTTTCGTCTCTTCGATCATTCTCAACGCAGTGTTCGAATCTAGACTCGATCGTCCGGATGTGTGCTTGTACAATTAGGATAACGTGATGAATTCGTGAAAATCGTCCCCCCC